GTTGCAATTATCCTGCATTTTTCTTTGTACGCAGTTTTCCAACCAATGAAATTCCGCGTAAAATCCGGAAATTTCTTCCGTTATTACACTCCACTCGAATCTAATTCACGCTCGCTGCAAACGTTTGAAGTAAAAGCGATCCTCCAGCAGTTACCGTACACTTTCTCGAAACCTTCACGTGCGGTGCCACTTTGAAACAATACTCGTCCAGCGGAGCTACAATTTTGCAATTAAGGATTTCTAGCGATTTTCACGTGGAGAGAAACGGTTCGTTAACGAGCAAACAGAAAATCTCGAGCTGCTTCGGTTGCGCCATTGTTACTCCAGCTGGGCTGGTTTACGGTCCCCGTTGAAAAAAGGATAAAAAAGATCCGCGCCGAGTATCGGCCGTGTCGCGTTCATTTCCGTTCACGAATCGGTAGGGACGATAAATCACCGGTTATCTCGGGAGGGGGGGGGGCCCAGCTGGAGGTTGCTCGTACGGATCAACGTGACGTTTGCTATAACGGAACTACGTCATAAATTATCGAGGCAGCCTCGCGCAGGCCAGGTAGCCCGATAAAAATTTCCTGGCCACTTTGCGTCACACCGGTTTCTCCCGCGCCCTCTCGCCGCACTTCCCTTCCACGCAATTCCAAGAAGGTCAAGTACTTTTCGCCAACGGACCCGATCGTCCTTCCGGTTATCGACGCTACGCATCCTCGACGTTAATTCGATTCTCCTTCCTTCTTTCGATCTAGAGAGAGAAACTGGCGAGAAGAAGATCTGAACTTGTTTGCTACGTGAAAATTAGAGACAGTGTCGAGAATCGAAGGAAAATTCGAACTGTGAAGAGAAGAAGACGGTAATAGGGTTGAAGTGGAGAAGAAGTTCGTACACCGGAGGAGCGGCAAAACGTTTACACGCTCGTAAAACGGTGACACGGAGGGGGTTTTACATGCGTCATCGTCGTGCGGGTACAAATCGCACGCGACCATACGCTTCGACGACAGTACACGTGCGTAACGAAGCGCTTGATCGCTCCTTCGGAACACGGGGCTTCGATCCTCTTTCAAGGATACACTGTGATAAATGCGGGACCGGAGATGACGCCCTCTACGTTCTCCAAAATGACCGTCCGGCTCGTCCTGCTGTGTCTACTTGTCGTGTGCAACGGTGAGTACGTTTTGTCATTTCCTTCTGGGTTTGTTTCGTGCGTCACTGTCGACACCTGCTGTTGTAATAATTCGGGCGTACGGCGGTTCGTTTTGCTCCGAGGAGAATCAGTTCTCTCGGTGAAACTCTTCTTGTGAAGTTTTTCCAAGGAATTTTCAAAGAGATCGCGATTGAAAATGTGAATGAGCAGTAGATTTCTGGAAAAGTAGAATTCGTTTCGTTTCAAAAAGAATAAGTTGGATAATTTTTTAGTAAAGTTCTTGAAATTTTGCAGAGTAATTCGTTGAGATGGAATTTTGAAAGGAGTCGTAAATAAAAATGCGAACGAACGTTTTCATTTTTTTAAAAATGGTCGTTTAATTCTGGAAGAAGTTCGGTCATTTTTGGTCGAAAGTGTAAACGTCAAATTTTGAAAATTCTCCAAGGGAATTTATTGTGCTCGAATTTTTCAAAGAAATTGCGATTAAAAATTCGAAAGAACGAATTGTTATTTAAAAAAAGAATTGTTCATCGAATGGTGGGCAAACAGGTGAATCACACTTTATCGGACTTAAAGATTAACGAAGCATTGAAACTTTATCGTCGCACGTCGACAATTAATTGCTCCATAAATAATAACCGTGTTACTTTTCACGATGACAATTTTGAAAACAGGCCACGTAACGTCGATGTGTGTACGCGATAAAATAGTTTCGAGCGTGTTCATCGTTGGCTTAACACGCCGGCGAATCGAAATTTGCGCGTCAATTAGCTATCGGGAAATATGGACGGAAGGAGAACGTGGAATTACCTGGCGCGTCGTTTATCGAGGAACAATAAAATTACAACGGATAAAGCCGGTCTACGAATGTAACTTCCAATTCACATTGCCAATTAAACGTAGAAAGATTTGCGACGTATCGACGTGACTCTTCGACTTTGACGTCAATTCCGACAAATCACAGAAATGTTTAATTTATCTATAGATTAAAAGGAAGGAAAACAATAAGATTTTTCACGTTGTACGATTTCGAATTCTCTTCCTGAATACGTGTGCGCAGCTCGAAATAGCTGAATATATTATCCGTAAGGTGTAAGATTCGATTGGAGCAACTGTTAGGACATTGACAGCGAGCCATCGATCGAATCGGAATTACGCATAGTGTTACAGTGTCGACTGATTGACATGGCTGAATTAATATGCCGCGAGCCGTCAATTTAACGACTTGGAAGGCCTTAACCTCGACAAGGGCCGCGTAGCCTTTAAACGCCGTCGCAAATGTTGCATTCGAAATGACTAGTACGAGGGCATTGGTTCTTGCTGTCACTGACACGTTGTGTCGCATTATTGGTCCAACCATCGAACTTCATTCGACAGAACTGACTTATATTTTTATTCCGCTCCAAAGAAGAACTTTTACAATTATCGACTTGCAATCCGTCTAAAATTCCCCTAAATGCATTCGCACGCGAAAACTAAGTTACCCAAATTATTTTGCCTCCTGGAACGAAAGCGCCAATTGACTTACATTTTTATTTCATCTATTAAATCTTAATACACAAGACGCATTCATAACGAAGAGTAATCTTCAAAATTATCGACTTGCAATCCGTCACGCGAATGCTAAATTACCTAAACGTTTCTCCCTCTTGGAACGGAAGAGCCAATTGACTTACACTTTTCTCCCACCTATTAAATCTCAACACACAAAATGCATAAGCACAATCTTAAAAATCTTCCACACACAATCGACTTCCCTAAACGCACTCTCGCGCGAAAGCTAAATTACCCAAATTCTCTCCCTCCCTGAAACGAAAGACCCAATTAACTCACGTTCTTGTTTCGTCTCAATGCACACGATGCATTCATACCGAATAACACCTTTCAAAATTATCGACAGACAATCGATCCAAAGATCTTCCACATACCGTAGATTCCCCTAAACGCGTGCACTCTCACGCGAAAGCTAAATTACCGAAATTCCTATACACGACATCCACGAAATCGCGTGGAAACGGTTTCTTTACCAGCACCTTGGCAGTGAAACGAACACTCTCAAGGCGATTCTATCGTTTCGGGATCCCCGTTTCTCTTGACACACGCGGTGCCGTCTGACCGCGTGAAAAATCTGTGTTAATCGGGTTCGATTCACTTTCGTACACACAATGCGACGATCACACTCCACGCTCGTGGCCGTCTCGTTCGAATAATAAACGCCGCTGGACGATAGTTCGCGCTGTAGAACAGAGAGACGAAACCGCTCGGTGATCTCGAGCGCGCGTAATCAGAGCGAGACGCCTGGCTATCGCTCGGTATCGCCTCCACTCTTCTTAGTCGTTGCACTCCGGACGATTTCGACGGAATTAGAAATGTAATTGGCTGTGTCCAGGTCCTCCTCGTTAAGTTTCACCGGAGAGAGGATTCCCGAGGCTCGAGGAGGAGGACGCTCTGCATAGGAATGAGGATTTTAGTTCGTTGCTAAAGCCTGAAAAATGTTTCCCCACTGTCACGGTCTTTTGGAGGGTATAGTTGCTTTTGGGAAGAGAGGTTTGGAAATGGTACTGAGGATGAATGAAACGTCGGAGTGAAAGAAATGTGCTTCGTTCGAGTAAATGCGTGATTACATCTGATTTTGATAGATGATGCGTCATAGTTCACCCCGCAGAACAGTTTGGAGCAATGATTCCATAGATTCGTGTCGAATTTTCGAATTTAGATTACTGTTTCCAACGAACCTTGAAATTTGGTGAAAAAGCGTAAGCGTCTCCTAACTCCACTACTTTATCCTATTCCTTTTTTTTATTTTGGTACGAGCATTAGGTCGCTATAGATTTTCATTGAAATATTTTTCGCTTTCGGCACGAACTTACGGGATGACCTAATAAATATTCATTCATATCGTATACGAGACATCGAACTTTGTTACATTACATCTACTAGCAGCAAGAAATTGTTTATTAGATGCTGTAATATGCGATAGATCGCAAGTAGATCAGACAGTTCACACAAAAAGGGTTAACGATTAGAACGTTAAGCGAGAAGTATGACAGATTCTCGAAGAACGATTGAAAAAACGAGAGAATGGAAGTAAGTGGGACTAAGGTTTGCGGTAACACAGTTACCAAGTTTGCCGTGAAGACGTTTGCATCTCGAATACGGTTCGCCTCTGAGAACGATGCAAATCGAAGCGATCGAGCGTAAAGAAGTCGAGACGATCTTGGACCATGCACCGTGAATCACCGAAGAAAGAGCAGGTCGGTTCGTTTACTCGTCGGGAATACTCTCTACATAATCGGTCGCTTCGAAATTGTCAACGAACCGGCGAGAGAAAGAAAAGAGGTTGTATCCTCTATTACACGCAAGAATATCGCGTGCAAATGTCCAGACATTGACGCAACGATGAAATCAATTCCCATCAATGTCACGCTCTTGAAGAAACGAAAGAAAGAAAAAACGCTGTTGAGAAAAGGTGTAAAAGAGCAAAAGAAAGAGTATCGATGGTAAGAGTGTAGCCGAGGCGAGGGTACGCCGAAGATTATCAATAACGGCGAAGAGTACGGCGTGCAGGAACGTCAATTACCGATCGTAATATCGATCCTGAGACGTTGATAGAGCCGAGGTTTCGGCGGTGATGGGATTTTTTTGTCGATCGTTTTTCGACGCCTTCTCGTAAAGCATCCGAGGCACGGCCAGGGGAGCGGTGAGCCCGAAAGAAACTGGTTCTCCTGCGGAGGGTGGTTAAACTCGATGCAATGCGTGCATTTAGTGAAACATCGCTCTGGAATGCAAACACGTGGGGAAGGGTAGGAACCCGCATGGGAACTATCGTACAGATCCTGCGTTACGATCCACGCCGCTCAATTTTATGCGTTCCATCGACACGCTCGCTTCGCTCCGCGTCGTCCAAACTAAACAGCCTTCCTTCCACGGATTTTACGTAATTCCCGTCTATTTAGAATCGTTCTTCCCTGGATTTCTCGGTCTTGCTTGCTTTCTTAAACGTTTCATATTAGATGACAGAGTGAACGATCTGTATTCCAAGTTGGATTTTTCAGGAGAGAATGAAAATCTTTTTTTTTTTAATTCAAAGATTACACGTAGATTCTCCAACGGTAAGTTAACAAGTTAACACCAAGACAAAATGATTAGAATGATTCGAAATTAGTGTACTTACACTACGATCTTTAATCGACGAATGAAATACTACGAATACCGGCGAGAATTTGCGTTTATTGAAATTAGATGAAATTAATAACGTTTTCATAATATCTCGATAATAACATTCCTCGGGAAGCTTGATTCTCACGGAATGCAGACTGCATCGCGCACGCGATCGTCGAAAAATGCCGGACCCTCCCAGTCTACACCGCCCGCAATGAGTCCTGTGAGCGAAGGATGCGCGTTCCTGCGTATCCTTGACACCATCGCGAGAATTCTCGCGCCAGGCGTGCACGCCACGTCGTTTACGGAATTCTCTTGCCTCTCCCTCTTCTCTCTGTCTCGTCCTTTGCGTCGGTAACTTCAGGAAATCAGCAGCCTTACCAACCAGCTCGTATTTTTTCTCCAATTTTCACTTCCGTCCTTCGTCACACAAAGATCGCCAGGTGATCGATATTTTTCCTTTCAAACGCTATTACGATCGACAGCTTGGCTCGCGGAGAAACGGAAACGCGATCGAACGGATTTCCGGGGTTAATCCTGGCCAAGGACGACGCTTCGATCTCGTACGCGGCAAAAATGAACGTCGATCGTTCTCGCCATATACTGGAACATCGACCGATTGCTCGAACACGTAGGCTTGTGCGTTCGCAGAGCTGGTTTTGTAATATTCCTCGTGGAGCTCTGTTGCGCGATGTGAACAATAAAATACACAATCGACTCGGAGATAAAGTGCGCAGTTGAAAAATGTGTTCGCCGGCTGGACAAGATTTCACTTCGATCGACGATCGTTCGACGTGATTTATCAACGAAATTCAACGGAATTACTCGACTCGTTCTTCTTTCATTTTCAAACAAAATG